GAGAGCACCTTGCGCTGTTCTTCAATGGTGAGACCCCAAAGTTGAACCCCGTGCGCATGAAATGCTGGAGACAAGTTCGACGTTTCGTGACAGAAGGGATACGAGTTTTCACAGTGTCTTTCTGAAACCACTAGCTTGGAAATGAGAGCGGAGCGACCTCCAATTTTGGTCTCGATGTCGGTCCGCTCAGACCACGTTTCGACCTGGTGGGTTTAAGGAAGTCGTCAACCAACGCTTCCCGACCATCTCGACTGTGAGGTTGCGATGCTATCTTGAGCTGGACGCATCGAACTAGAACAACAGCTTGTGGTGTCGAGCTTCGAGCTGTCATTCCCGGCAGGTTGCTTTCTTGTTTGATCGCGACGGCAGTTCCAGCTCTAGTTGTCTTGGGGACCTTCTTGAAGTGACGGCGACGACTTCCACGACGCTTGTTCGGAGACCGAGTCGTCGTTGTTGGATGCTGCTAAGTATGGCGATGCAGCGGCTGAATTGGCAACTGATGCGAACAGCAGGCTGGTTGGTTATGCATGGCGAGGAGCTTGTTGACGGCAGGGTTTGTAGCAACGTTCCCACGTCACCTTGTCAGCAGGTCGCTTTGCCAGGGTAACCGCGTTTGTTCAAGTGCTTGTTTTCCAGCTGGCCTTTTACCGCTTGCTTGGGAGTCGGGCAATGGATTGCTTGTTTCGAAGAGCGTGTTCCGGGGCCACTGAGTTGCTTTGGGGATAAGTTCGAAGTTCACAGCTGCCCGGACGTGGTGGTTTGATTGTGTGCTGGTTTGTCTAGTGCGATCTGGGTAGGCATTTGATTCGAGTCTTTTTCGCGAAGCCTGGGCTTCTATAATGTAGCTCTTCATTTGATTCAAGATTTGTAAGTGTAGTAATATTTTCCTACTAGGCTAACAGATAATATAGTTCGTCAAAAGAGCGTGTCGTTTCACTATTTCACCAACGTACACGAAAGATAGAACAATTAGCCCTCCGCATAACAAGAACAGTCCATGGTCAGTACTGACATATAGTACATTATGTGTAGGTCATGCATTGATCAGAATGTTGCTGCAGAACTGTGTTAGAATCAAGTTATGTATTTTGTTGTGATTGTCTAGCGTCCTCGACTTTGAGAGCTAGACAATGTCCCTAGTTCCTCCTTGCTAGCCGGATATCTTTTTGCATGATGGTGATTCTTTTAGCATGGATAGCACAAAGGATGGAACATTGGAACATGTCCACAAGATGGGCTTCTGATGCTTGCTGGAGAGTTTCCATTGCAGACCCTTGAAACCTGATGTCTTTTCTAGTATCAGAAGCTATGTCTCGGACAAGGCGCTGAAAGGGCAGTCTCCTGATTAGGAGATCGGTTGACTTTTGGTACCTTCGAATTTCTTTGAGAGCCATTATGTCCTGGCAGCCGTTCAGATGGAGTAAAACGCAATAGTGCTTTCTTTACACTATACAGCTGCATATAGCGAGAGAGGCGACACTTGACCTTGAAGAATGGCTCGCCTTGCTAGCGCTTTTCGGAATCTGGGATTTTGTCCGTCGATTACTTTGCTTTCAGTTGGTTTAGTCTTTACCATAATGGAGGAAATCTATTTTATGTCTCATTATTGCTTTTTGGACTGTGGATGTAGTAGTTAAAATGCATGCATAGTAGAATGCCGTCTTTGCTCTCTAGTACATACTTACTGCTGGTATGATATCAAAGTTTTGCACGCTCGTTCGTGACCATGCTCAGATACTTGGGCTGGTGGGTGGCTTGAGCCATCATTTACTGTTGTGTCTCAATAGAGTTGGGAGTTTTGAGTACTCGCTGAGTAAATATGAGAGTGTCAAAAGGTATGTTGTCACTCTCGAAATTTTTTGAGCCGAAGCAATTCTCGATGTGGTTCTATGAACTGTGCGCAATTTTTTGAAAAATTTCCGATATGGTTGATACCTCGCTCGTGTGTATAGGGAGATCGAATGTTCATGTGTGCGGCGTTGGGCCGGAGAGAGTTTTTGAAAAAACCGTGAGTCATTCTCACAAAAATCCTTTCCGGACAAACGAAAACGAAAAAGAAGGAATAATATGCAACTCCCTGGTTCTTGGTTGGATAGTGGGTGTGCAGATGCAGAAGCATATGCAAATGCTACCAGGATATTGTATAGTGGGTGACCCGTACGTGTAAGCTCTATGCTCTATCAGCGCTAGCAGATTTCACACTCGTCAAGCCTTTGCTTATAGCAGATTTCCGCATGCTGCCAGGACAAGAGATATATATTAATATGGCGCTGCGCCGACTGAGAGTGAGAAACGTGGTAGGCATCGGGCCGACTCAACAGCCGATTAAACGATAAAGTCGAGGCCGCTTGCCAGCTCCTTCTTCTTTGCACGTCGGGGTGTTTAACGGTGAGACATACACCTTCGACTCTCGTGATCCGCGCTCTCGCGTTCCTGGCTTTGAGTCTGTGGAGTTACTAGTGCTCGGCGTGCCATAGTCTCTTCTAGATAGATAGATCGTGTGAGCGTGCAATGGAATAGTCTGGAATTAAGTAGAGATAATGGCACAGAGAAGCACCAATGCAGGCTGTGACACACATAAGTTAAGAAGGATTCTGTTCAATGGGTTGAGCAGAGAGACTAGAGGGGTGTGGCTTGTGAGCCTACTGCAGTGGTTACCAGTTGTGCCAGAGTCTAGTGGAGTGCATCCGATTATATCGTTCAAGGCCAGACATGGTCTTGAAACGTGCCAAGCACAGACAAGGTAAGAGGAAGTAGTCTAGCAGCGGAGCAGGGGAGAGCAAACAATCAAGGCGGAACTTCACAGTAGTACTCGAAGGATTACAGTAGTAGTCAATGCCTGCAGTCTGTAGCCTCGCTCGTCTTAGGGCTGGCTGAGAATCTACGAGTTCTGCTCGTGCCTTGCGCAGATGGGTATCCCATGGATCGCATCAGTCATAGCGAGGACTGGACTGGAAGCATGATGGCATGTATTTTGTGTCATCCCATGTCTACATCGTACTGCACATCGGCCTCCGTTCGCACAATCCAGCCGCTCCCGCAGCAGCAGCAAGGAGGCAGCAATTTACAGGCATCCAGGCCAGGCGCATTCCGCAGCTTTCGCCCTGGCAACAACGACCACTCGAGCCACCATGGTTACGAGGAGGAGGAGGAGGAGGAGGCCACTACTCCAGAGCCAGCTACCAGTACAAATGCTGCAGTAGAAGATTGCCATCTGGTGCAAGCCAATCCAGTCTCGGAGGATCCAGAGGCGCCAGCTGATCTCATGCATGCTAACCCTGTGGACTTGGAGCAGCAGGAAGCCCGACACCAACGACGCCAGAGACAAACACGAATGTACATTTTATTGCTGATTTTGGTACTAGTTGCTGCGGTGGCCATCATTGCCACGGTGGCTGGAACGCAGAGCAAGAGCAGCCCAGCCGAATCTGCTAGTGTCCCGACAGCGCCACCTACAATGATGCCTTCAGAGGCACCATCCTCTGCCCCCACTGGTGTTCTGGACTTTTTGCTATCCGGCCTGCCAAACTATACATTGACAAATCTACAAGAATTTGGCACTCCTCAGTGGAAAGCATGGGACTGGGTCGCCAATCACCAAAACATTACTGTTTTGGAAGAATGGAAGAAAATGCAACTGTTTGCCATGGCTACCTTCCATTTTGCCTTTGAAGGAGAGCACTGGTTTGAGCCAATCCAAGAAAGGTGGATGGACTATGGGAAGGATGAGTGCTTGTGGTATTCCACTGGCTTTGGAATCTTCTGGGGGGGAGAATACATAGAATATGCCCCTGAACTGCAAAATCCGTCTTGCAATGACATGGGAGAACTCACCTCGCTGTCAATTGAGAGCTCACTTGAGTTGTCAGAGTGGGAGCCATCTATCCCACCTGAAATTGCTCTGTTGACATCCTTGGAAGCAATCACACTAAATTTCAATGAGCTCAATGCGAGTCTGCCCAGCTTGATTCCATCAGAACTGTTCCTCCTGACAAGCTTGACAAAGCTAGAGTTGTTTCATGCTGCATTGTCTGGCACAATCCCAACTGTGTTGGGCCTGATGGATGGCTTAGAGCGCTTGGCACTGGGATCGAATGACTTGTCTGGAACTGTCCCCAGCGAGCTGGGCCTAATGACAAGCTTGAAAAGTTTGTCGTTGGGAAACCTTCTCACTGGCACAGTTCCAATCCAAGTGTGGTTGCTGAGTTCTCTTGGTTCCCTTCGGTTGGCAAACAATATGATTTCGGGACAGCTACCCAGGGAGATTAGGTCGCTATCTGGATTGGCACAGATTGATTTAAGAATGAATCTATACACTGGACGGCTCCCTTCTGAGATTGGTATGCAAACTTCTATGATCCATGTTGATTTGAGAGGCAATCCCTTTACTGGACGGCTCCCTTCTGAGATTGGAATGATGAATTCAACAAAATTCTTTGATGTGAATGGGAACATGTTATCGGGACAAATTCCAAGTGAGCTTCAGATGTTGACTCTGCTGCAATTGTTTGACCTTGCCAGCAATGAATTCACTGGCAGTATTCCTGGTCTGCAGATGCACCCCAACCTTTGGAAACTTTACCTTGGAAGCAACAAATTCTCTGGGAACATTCCCTCCGAGTTGGGCGGCCTAGTATCTTTGATGGAGCTGGATTTGTCCAATCTACCTCTGGTTACTGGAGCCATCCCATCAGATCTCACAGCTTTGTTGGATCTTGGCATGTTGAATTTGAATGGTAGTTCTGGGCTATCTGGTACAATTCCCGAGCAGTTCTGCTATTTCCAGAATTCTTCCTGCCTCTTTTGGTATTCATCGAGACCGTGCTCCCTTGGCTTTGAGTGCAGTGATCGACTTTGCGGTTGTGACTGTCCATGTACTGTTGTTTAGACTGATGAAAACCTCCGCGGCCAGCGAGATAAACAGCGGGAGTGAGCACGAAGAGAGTCAGCGCCGCGGGTTTAGCTGCTAAGTTCGACTACGTTATGGATTTTACGCGTACTTAGGCAGACTCCAAAGTTTCCAGTTGTTTTCCAATCCATTTTTCTTCCTTATCCATGCCCAGCCCTCGCAAGGAATCTGCCAGTTTCTTGTACCTGTAGACGACACTAAAACCCAATCGCCACTGCAGCTTTCGGAGGCAAACAGGGCACAAATGAAAAGGAGCCAGAAAGTCCTCCACGAGATGACCCGTTCCGTTCATGATACAACGGTTGAATATGCAGTGGTCCAACCCGTAGAGGTGTCCCAGTTCGTGGACCAGAATCTTCGCACAGCGCCTGAAAAACTCGGTTTGTGCTTGTCGTGTCATGTTGTCGAATGTAGGCGGCTCAGGGGTCAGAGCCGGAAGATTCTTCTTGGCTTTCTTGCGGGCCCCGATGGGATTGATGTGAGCCTCCTCGTAATAAGAATAGTTGTCGTGTTTTGTCCCATAACCAAAGTCAAACCAGCGACCCGGGTGCATCTTGATGTGGGGATGGTAACGGGAAAATGAGAAAACGGCAACTTTGTCGCCTCCAAAAGCCATTCCCGAGACAAACAGGTCGGTGGGGTCCATGTAGAGATCGTCCATGGTAATGGCCATGACACAAAAGCTGCTATTGGGAAGTGGTTCTCCTCCATCCGCTGCCAAGAGGCTTTCATCTTCGCGAAACGTCTTGAGGGCATAGAGAACATCCTCCAAGTTGAGTTGGACTCGCTGCGAAGCCAAGTCTTTCCGCCCTGTCACTGTGGCGTGGAGATATTGTTGTCTGCCATTGTGATCTGATGATGCTGTTGGAAACTTCATTGTGAAGCTAATCGCAACTCCCTGGGAAGGATTCATACGATCCCCACTAGGTTTCTCATCACAGAGAACCGCCGGTGGAAAGAGACGCACTGGCCGATGAAAGAAAGCTTTTGCCAATGGAACCAAAGGCTCCAAAGGGACGCCGTGGTCAGGCCAATGGCTGTCGGAAACTGAACGGCTCCGAACGATTGGCAGAAGGACAATGTGATCGTAGCCAACATTTGCGATCCTGGAGAATCTGCCCGATCTTGTTGTTAGGAAGCGGACATACTCATCAAAAGTCTGCCCCTCTTCGGGGACACAAGCCAACCAATCTTGTTCATCACGAGGTTTGGGAACCGCCATGGTTGTCATGGCGCGCTTCCCAGCCGGTTCATAGAGCTTTGCTTCGTCCAAATCAGAAAATGACTCCACCAACGACGGAGCCCGATCATCGTCGAGGTGGAGCTGCGCCTCGTTTAGCATTGCCTTTCGTGTCGATGCCGTGTGAGTGGCTCCGGGGAAGGAACCAATTGCAGCATGTCGCTCTGTTTCTGTGGGCTCTACAAAGTCAGGATGAAACGGTATTCCACCATTGTTGCTTTTGGTTGATTGCTTTCTCTTGGCCATGGTCGGATCTTGGGTTTTGGTGGGGAGGGTGGCTATGTTGCAATTGGTGCGAATAATAAACGGAAGTAATAGTACTGGTACAAACGTGGCTACGGTACCAGTACAAACGTGCCTCCAGCGGAAGGACCAGGATAACAGCTACAGTAGAGCTAGGGATAATGCAGCAACAACCGACAATGGCGTCGATCATCCAACACCCGACAGCATGATGGCGTCTGTCGCCTCCAAAGCCCAACATCGGCGCAGAAAGATTGGCTCCCTAGTACCACGTAGTAGATTCATTCCAAGTCTCTGCCTTCGATCCTTGTCGTCACAATGCCTGGTCCACCGCATCCAACACAAATCGAGCCTCTCAAGAGATTGACCAAGATCGTCAATGCGTTCTTGTCGAGAGACGATATCGGACCCTTTCGAGAGCCGGTGGATTGGCGAGGGTTGGGCTTGGATGATTACCCCAAGATTGTCAAGAAGATGATGGATCTGGGGACCGTCAAGCGCAAGCTGGAGCGCAACCAGTATTTCTCCGCGACCGAATGTGCCAACGACATTCGTCTCATCTGGTCTAATTGCATGGCCTACAATGCCGATCAAAGTGATTTCTGGCTGCTGGCCAAGTCCTTTCAGAGACGCTTTGAGGATCGGTATCGTAAGATCCGACAAGAAAGTAAGTTTTCTGCTAGCCATTTGACAGGGAACCTGAGTTTGGATTTGTTGTGCGGCAGCAACAAGAAAAACAAAGATTCAAAGTGAACTTCTAGCTAGGATATTGCAATGAAGAGGTGCTGTTCTTATTCAGTTGCTAATCCAAATTGTCTTGTTTCTTTTCCTCTTCCCCATTTATTGTATTAGTGGACTGTGGAGCAGACTTGAAGGATGGTGATGAGTCCGTTCCCGATGCTCCTCCATCCTCCACATCGAAATCTGGGTCCAGTGCCAAAGATCGGTCAGCACCCGCCGCCGTGCCTAGCAGCCCCGATAAGCCAGTTCCCTTGGATGCTCGTGCCCGCTTTGGAGCTAATTTGTTTCTTCTCTCGGGTGTCGAACTGGCCCATGTCATTATGAAATTGGAACAGGAATGCCCTCATGTGTTGGAGCACCTTAGTGATGAAGTCGTGACAGATGAAACCACGCCAGGGGCAGAGCCAGCCTTTGCTCCCAAGCTGGAAATCAATGTGGATGCTATTGATGCTCAATTGTTCACGGAACTCTCCAACTTTGTGGAAGAAAGAGTAGGATCCAAGGGATTCACCGAACCGGAAGAAGCACCACCTCGGTCCAAGAAGAAAAGGAGATAAGAAAGTTTTATTGTGGTGGAAGAGCAAAACCAGCATTCCTCTAATTTGCCTTTTCAATTTCCTGTCTAGCGATCGAGCTGACAGGATCTTGACATACTGCAATGACACTGAGGCCAATTCCATTTCTAGTCAGAACAAACTCCGCTCTGCTGGGGTTGTTTCCAGGCTATCGTATTCAACCACTCTCCTCTACATCTCCCTTTCCACAAGGCGGAGTTCCAAGAGTCTACAAACACCTTTACTGTACCATAGTTTAACACATCCCGTAATCCCACATGAATCGTGTTGACCGCCAATCTGAAAGATGGCTCCAGCTGCATGAGAGTTGGAAAGCGAGGACTTGCTTTCGGCAAATCCTAGCTAGCTAGTAGGAAGAGATTCATCATTCTCAGCTTCCTGGAAGCGTTTGGTGTGGCAGTGGCTGAGACGGTGCCGTCACCGGTCCACCACTGGCTAACACGTACCGGTACTAGTAGCTAGACTTCAGGAGGTGCTGTACATGCAGTGGCTACCGGTAGAGATGCTGGTGTTCAGTGTGGTACCTACATGAATTTAGACTAGCACAGCATTACTAGACTAGCTTACATCGTCTCTTTTTTCTTTCTTGCCTTTGGTGCACCGCCGAAGATATGGCATACTACAGTACCGTCACTCGAGAAGTCACTGGGTCCTCGATAAACTCCAAAGGCCACATCATCTCTCTAGCTAGTAGGCAATCTTACTTACCATTCCCGATGATGTCTACTAGTAGTCGCAATGAACGACCTTACCTGTCTCGTCCTGCTTACTTGTTTCTGAATCAAAAGGATGTCTGGGTCAACAACATTCTCCCCTTCCTTGGAATGGGCCATTATGTTTTCGTGGCATCTGTCTGCCACAAAATGAAAGACCTCTACCTCGCCTATTGTGCCACCGTTGAAGATCCACCAAAGCTGTGGGGTATTATTGGATTGGGGGCTGAAGAAATGTCAGCCTTCCACACGTTCTACGGTGCTGTGTTTTACAGTGAGCCATGTGCTGAGTACTGGCACACCTACCGTCATACTGGCACGGGTGGGCAGATCAGTGGAATTTCTGTATGTTGTACTGCAGCCAAAGTGGGTAGTCTACATGTTTTGTGTTGGGCCCGAAAAAGGGGATTTGATTGGGCTGTAAGTACATGTGAGAATGCTGCAAGAAATGGCCATCTTGAGGTGCTAAAGTATGCCCGTGAGAATGGATGTGAATGGAATGGATGCACAAGCAACTATGCTGCTGAGAATGGCCATTTGAGATGCCTCCAGTATGCACATGAAAATGGCTGTCCATGGGATCACTGGACATCCAACAATGCTGCTGCAAATGGCCACATGGAATGTCTCAAGTATGCCCATGAAAATGGCTGTGACTGGAATAAACTCACGTGCAGGTTAGCCGCTCAGGACGATCCGGCAATTGGGATTTGTGACTCAGTTTCACGACTGAATAGAACTGTCATCAAACGTGCTTTTTAAATATGATTTAAGCGACAGTTTAGGCAACCGTTGAAAAATAGGCAACAGTTTAGGCAACAGCTAGGATTTAGGCAACCGTTACTAGCATTTAACGGGTTGTTTCTCGAAGCATTAGACAACAGTTTAGGCAATTGCCTAAAAATAGGCAACTATTTAGGCAATCGCCAAGATTTAAGCTACTGACTGTTGCCTAATTCTTCGTGCAAACTTTCAGTCGTGATTCATAATTGGCTTCGGCACTAATTGCCGGATCGTCCAGAGAGGCCACTTGGAAATCCTCCCATATGCCCATGAGAATGGCTGTCCCTGGGACCAAGGCACATGCAGTGGAGCCGCTGCAAATGAATGTTTGGATATCCTAAAGTATGCCCATGAAAATGCCTGCCCTGGTGAAGCAACATGCAGCAATGCTGCTTCCAATGGCCATTTGGAGATCCTGAAATATGCCTATGAAAATGTTGTCCATGGGATGAAGATACATGCTTGTTTGCTGCTGACAATGGCCATTTGGCGGTGATAAAGTATGCCCATGAAAATGCTGCCCTTGGAGTGAAGCAACATGCAGCAATGCTGCTTCCAATGGCCATTTGGAGATCCTGAAATATGCCTATGAAAATGGCTGTCCATGGGATGAAGATACACTTGTTTGCTGCTGAAAATGGCCATTTGGAGGTGATAAAGTATGCCCATGAAAATGGCTGCCCTTGGAGTGAAGCAACATGCAGCAATGCTGCTTCCAATGGCCATTTGGACATCCTGAAATGCCTATGAAAATGGCTGTCCATGGGATGAAGATACATGCTTGTTTGCTGCTGAAAATGGCCATTTGGAGGTGCTAAAATATGCCGTTGAAAACAATTGCCCGTGGGATGAAGACGAAGTTCTGATGGGCAGCAGCGGAAGCGTAAGGGCGTGGATTCAAGACTTCAACCAAAGAAATGCCTGATAAGCGTGTGCTCTATTCGTGGCATCCGAAGTGTTACGGAGGCTGCTAGCTAGTGCAACAAAGTAGTCGAAAACTCAAAGCCTTCTAAACGTGCAAAATCCACCATCGTTGAGAGTACATTGTTCCACCGGTGGTACCTTTCAGCTCGCCCATACCTATACATAGCCGTCGAACGACCAGCAGCAGTGTTGTCTTGAAGACGAATTCCGTTGCCAAGGGGACAGCTAAGCAAGTATACTGGCTGCAACACGACTCTTCTTCGAGTTTCATAGTTTGAGAGAAAGTATGGAGGAGCTCCAGAAAATGTACCACAGCAATGCTCTTCCCGCCACCGGTACAGTCCACAAACGCGCGAGCTCTCAAAGATGCGTGCCCAAACTCAACGTTCCCCAGCAATTGCCTCTCTCACGGCATAATCACGTAGCAGTCAGAATTAGGGCACTCGCTGCGACAGATCTCCCAAACCTGCCATCCCCAGGAAAAGTCATGTTTGCTGCAGTAGTAATCAGTATCCTCCGCAACTATAGAACAGTGCAGCGACTCCACTGTCAGTTGGCCATCTGGCAACTCCACTTCTAGATCAACCCAATCCCACATGTTCCGACAGCTGCTGTCTGCCTCAAAGCCAGTTGGTTGCTGCTCGGTTTCCACAACAGAGGGCTTCCATGAAAGCTTGACTGTAACGGCTCTCGGTGATTCGTTCACGTTCTCAATGTGAATCCCTGTCTCACGCACAATTCCAAATTGGTACGTGTCAGTGTTGGGATACGTGACGCCACCTTGTCGAGAATCCGTGTCGTCCCCATCGTCCCCACTACTGCTTCTTCCTTGAGTCTCCTCTTCCTTTCCTCCTGCGAATGTTTTCGCTGTGATGTGGGTAAAAGCGGTGTCAGAACCAGGACCGAGAACAACCCCGGGCTTCCACGTATCGCTAGGGTCGCCCTTGTTGATGCCTCGTTCTAAATGATACAACCCATCTGCCGCAAGGACAGACACACGATAGTGGTTTCCATTCCGAGGCCAGCCATCCTGTTGAGGGTAGCCACGGTTGTTCATGCGTGGCACGGCTTCGTCAACGTGGTACACAACCAATCCCACCTTGTCATTGAGGTCCCTGTCGAATTCCAGTGCCTGTCGAAACTCAATCAACAGATACTCTTCGTATTGTCGGTTGTGGTTCTGATATTGTGGCATGAGTCGGGTAACGACATCCGAGGGTAGCGCAGTCACATTAGTGAGAGAAATCTTGATGGCCCCATTGCTGATTTCGGCAGGTTCCAGCGTAATGGTGGTATCCCCTTGTTCCCGGTTCCATTCCGTGGGCGTCAACCATCCCAGCGAGACTTTGCTGTAGGCGCTTAAATGTCCCGGGAAATCTTCGTCATTTTCAGGTCCAAAAGGATACGCCTACAGTAGTAAACGAGCAAAGGTGAGCGGCATGCGGCCATTCATTGTCATGATGTCTCGATGAGACAGACTCCACTTACCATTAGATCCCTGTACGGTAGGTAGGAAAACGAACAAAGGTAAGAAACGGCATTCTACCATTGTCGTATACCTTCATGACACGCACTCCACTTACCAAATCCCAATGCCCTTCCCGGGACTATCGACTGCATAGTCGTAGACATCGTCCAATCCCAACGTGTGCATGTACCTGATAGACAATAGAAATACGGTAGAAGCAACAAGAGATGTATGTATGTATGTCAGCAAGAAGCACTTCCTTGCAGTCACGGTACGCCAGTACCAAAACAAAGACTCTTGACTTACTCGTGCACGGCCACACCCATTTTAGCTGGTTCGGCACCACAGTTTCCATCGAGTGCCGATGCTACGAGATATCCATGAAGCCCATAGATGGGTGCTTCGTCGACTGGGGGAGCCGCTGCGGCACTACTAGCACTGGCTGCCATTGGTTGTGGTTGTTGCTGCGAGTGCAGTTGCTGCTCCCAGTACGTGTCATTGAATTCGGCGGGTCCCATGATGCCTTGTGTGGTCCAACTAAAGGAACTGGCAAAGGCATGACTCCAGATCCGGTCCTTGACCGGCCGTTGATTGGTACAATCCCATCCTCCCAATTCGGCGGGATATCCCGAATGCAAAATGACGACGGCATCGAGTTTACCATCTTGATTGCGGTCAAACTGGGCCCAGTCCCAATCCTTCGTTTCATGGAGTGTATCTAATAGGGGCCAAAAGGAATGCTGCAACGAATGTCGCAGGCCACTGACACCACCGGCATACGACTCTTCCGTGTCATCGGTATCCATCCAGTCCGTGACAGTGGCATGGTAGCGATAGTGCCCGTACGAGTTCAAGTCGAACCATTGATGAATGCGGTCATTCCAGAGATTTTCCAGAGTCCGTTTCGTGGGCAAGGTTCGATTGACATGATCTTGAAATCTCATGAGAATGACCAGAACTTCAATGACGGGTTCGTCGGGGCCAATGGAATGGGGATTTCGTTTGGGCGGTGCCGATCGGAGATTGCCGTTTCGAGCTCTGGTTGTGTATTGATGCGTCAAGCCATTGTGGTCCTCAAAGTCGTTGTCGTCTTTGGGCGTTGTCGATGTCGACAACAAACTCCGATGTCTCTTGGCATGGTCCTGCAATGTAAGATCGACATCTTGACATTCGGTTTCGTTCATATATCGACAGAGTTCGGGATGGACAAACTGTGGCGTGTAGTGAAAGGGTTGCTGCATCCGCCGACGCCACTGGTGCACCGACTCCCATTGTTCGGACAGCTCGGATGCCGGATGAGGAGGAACAAAGCCATGAATGGGACGGAGCAGTAGCAGAGTCGAAGAGAGTAGAGACAGACAGTACTTGTAGTTGTACCATCTCTTGTGGAGAGGCATGGCTGGTGTCGCTGTCATTTGTCCGTGGGAAACTCAGATTTTGAAGTGAATGCACTGCCAAGTAGTTAGATGAATTGAGTGAGTGAGACTCTTGTTAGAAAGTTAGTTGATGATCCTGGAACGCCTTCTTCTTGATCTTTCAATTGACAAGTGTCACCTCCTGTACATAGTCCTGGGAGAGCAGCAGTCTAGTAGTGTGTGAAACGATGAATGACAGCTTCACAAGACAAATGTGTCGTCGTCTGCAAGAGATGAAGGAATGAAGGTGCTGCCCAATGGGAAAAATGGTGCTGACGAAATCAAGATGGTGACTCCGAGGAATTGACTGCAAGAAAACCGTTAAAATGTGCCAACGGCGTGCTCGACATTTAAACAGCATCATGGATGTTTCATTATGTGACAGCAACAACAGTCCGAGTGCGAGCACTTCTTTTCCGATGCTTTGCAAAGCTCTTGGCAACTCGGCACTTTTCTTCTGAAATGGGAGTAGCTTCTAACGTCTAGTTTTTTGGAAGGATGTGGCAATGCGGGAGTTGCAACCACGTGCAAAATATTGGAGGAGTTGTGCAAATTGCCAACGTGTATAACACATGAAGTCTCTAAACTAAAACTTGTTGGTTTCTTCATGTGTGTGAGAGAGTTGGGGACTTGGTGGTACCGTACCGGCAGGTCCCTCTACGGAAGTTAAATCTGGGCATCAGAGGTGCCGTGGGTCCAGAGCTGTCCAGTCAGTTCCCAAAGCTATCTATGTTTCTATGCCGTAGCTCTAGCTTTTTTTAAAAAAAAGTATGAATTACAAAACTATTTGTAGCTAAAAGAGGAAAAGGGCCGGGCTATCTGAGGCAAGGGGGGCGGGGCTGTCTCTGACGGTGACAGTCTCAGTCAATGGCTGGCCTCCTTGATTTGATCCAATCGAGTCAAGAAGGAATTTGATACATCATAGACAAGCCCAGTTCAGTCGAGGGCTTGTTCGGACATCTCCCATAGGCATCTTCGTTGCGTGATGTTGACAAACCCCATCAACTCAACGCAAGGTTTTCAGGGAGCTGTTCTCTGTCCTGGCTAGGCTTTAGTTTTTGCCATCCCATGGAGGCTATTTTCCGCCTCCAGACCAAGTAAACTCTGTCAAGTTTTCCAACAACGATATCTCGGCCGGAATCCCACCGCTGAACTCATTGGAATCGAGATACAGATTGGTGAGACTGGACAACTGGCCGATTTCCGAAGGCACTCGGCCGGTCAGCAGGTTGGAAGAGATATTCAGCGTTTGCAAGTTCTCCAGCAAACCAACTTCGGATGGGAGTGGGCCCGTCAAACTGTTCCCAACCAACTGCAGAACCAACAGAGAGTCTAGTTGTCCGACTTCCGTGGGCATCGTTCCATTGAAAGTACAGTTGCTGGCCAAGAAATATTCAATGTCCTCCAACAAACCCATCTCGGACGGAAGCTCTCCTGTGAACGGGGTATTTCGAAAGACCACGTCGACCAACGAGGACATTTCACCAATCTCGGTTGGCAAACCCCCGGAGAAGAAGTTATCCGAGAGCCAGAGACTGGGAGTAGTAGCAGCAAGACGAGGTAAGTACGTGTCAGTAGAGCACCAAAAGGCAGCATGTGGCTGGCACCGCATCGAAACCTTCCTCTTACCTGTTTAACAGGGTCCAGCTGCCAATCTCAGTAGGAATCTCTCCAGTGAGGTAATTCCCTCCGAAATTCATCTCGCCCAGTGCTGTCAGCAAACCAAGCTCACTTGGAATCGTCCCGGAAAGCCGGTTATCAAGTAAGTACATGAAGAATAGCCTGGAGAGAAGCGAAAGCTCTGCGGGTATTTGGCCGGAAATGTTGTTGCCTCCCACGAGAAAATATCTCAGAGACGTCAAACTGGAGAACTGAGTTGGGATTGTGCCGGTCAAAGCGTTTCCAGCAACATAGAAAACCACCAGGCGAGTCATGGACTGAAGCTCTGAGAGTTGTTGATGCGACACGAAAAGCGTCAGGAGGCGCAATCAAGACACAACAGGGATGGTTGCAGCTCCACTCTTCTAGGCCGGCACTTACCCGTGGGAATGCTCCCAGCAAAGTTATTGTCGCTCAAATCCAAGTTTTCCAGGCTAGACAGAAGGCCAAGCTCTGCGAGAAAAGCATGATCGTGAGCGGCATTGGTATGAACTCGACCCCAGAATTTCCTTCACTTACCTGACGGTATGGTCCCACTGAAATCCGCAGATCCAAAGAAAATGCTTTCAAGGTGTGTCAGGAGGCCTATCTCCGTTGGCAGAGTGCTGGTCAGATTCAGGTTCGCGTAAAGGGCAAACTGCTCCAAATCCGAAAGGAAGCCGATGTGCGATGAGATGGTTCCTTCCAGCATATTGCCCCTCAAGTCGAGGCTCAGCAGAGAAGTGAGCCAATAGAGCTCTAATGGGATCGTCCCACGCAAATTGTTTCTGGGGAGCCACAGTCTCTGATACTCGCCGTCATCTCCACAGGGGTTTGTTTCGCGTATCTCTAGCTCAAGAATGTCTATGTAGCTTCTTGAACCGTACCAATCACATTCGTGCTCATCGTGCATGAGCCATCCTTCTTTGTTCTTCCAGTCGCTTCTTTCCGAGACGTCGGATGTAATGCCCATCGTACTAGTGGCAAAGTACAATGTAGCCAAGGAAAACCTTTGCCGCAAGCGCCATTCGGGGTAGCTAGACAGATTTGGATCCATCGTCAACCAGCGATACGCCAGTGCTTGCGGTGTTGCATGACTCTCCAAGATTGCTGCTTGCGTGTCTTCCGGGATGTCAAAGTAAAACGGTGTCGGAGCCATGGTTGGTGTACTTGTCAGAGTTGCCTCCTCGTCCTTTCGTTCCCTTGCATTGATGACCATAATTGCAATGAAAATCGACACTGCAACCGCTAAAATTGTCCCAAAGAATGTGCACCAAACCGCGTTGCAGAAAGCTCGGCGAAACTTGATCTCTTCATGCTCAGCGATCTCTTGCAGCTCTTTTGAGCTCACTTGCTCTCCGTCAGCCAACGCAATCGATGGTTCACGGACGGGCACTGCTTGGGCCAGTCCGGCACGGAATGCAGCTACGTCCTCAGTGGGATCAGCCGCTGGCCTCAGAGCAATGACTGAACTTCCATCCGTTGATTTTTGGCTTTCAATATCCAGCTGACTGTTCATTTGGCTTCCCATCTGACTGCTGTGGGGTGTTTCCCCGACGAGAGAGAAGCGAAGATCTCGATTCCGAACAACCTGGTTTCCTTCCCCATCTTCCCTGTACGCTCCAGGGGTAAGGTCACAGTTTGGGCATTCTGTCGCTGTCGTTTTTGCAGCTGCGTCGTCAAGGACCATGTCCACGGCATGGGTGGAGTCGCCTTGGGACGTCACCAACGAATCTACGTTCCCGTTGGTGGTGACGGAGGTGGCGGCGGCAGCGGCTGCACCGACGCCGCTTTCGAGGTCTGCCTCTTCTCCAGCGCAGCTTGTTGCTCCATTGGAATCGTTCTGACCCTCCACGCTTGTTTGAATATTGCTGTTGGATACATTCATATTCGATCTACTCGATTCTCCGTTTCGGAACTTGGCCTCGAAGGCGGTTCTCCTGGACGATATGTTGGTCATTGTAGATGAGTTCCGACCAAGGGAAGCTTCTGGGGAAGACCCTCGACTTGATAGTGGTGACTTGGATGATGCATCCCTTCGAAGACCATGTCGTTTCTTCGAGGATTCCTTTCGGAGCGCGGATTGGGAAGGCCTGTTCTCTGCTGTGGCCATGGCTGATGATATGTTCGACTGATCAGTTTCAGCTGGCTTTGCCTGCTGGGGGGAGATTCTTCGTCTAATCGGCGACAGTGAGGATGCATTCCTCTGCAGACCACCCTGTTTCTTGGAAGCATCCGTTTGCAGCTCATGCTGCGAAGACCTGTGCGCAAAACGATTTCTTTCTGCTGCAGCCTTGGCCATGGCCGGGTTTGTAGCTTTTTGCCCTGTCTCGGCCGATTTTGCTTTCTGATGTAATGGACGTGGTCTGATAGGCATAGGTGACATCGAGGATGCATCCCTTCGAATACCACGGAGATTCTTGATAGCATCCCTTTGAATCTCATACTGTGAAGACATGTGCGTAAAAGAGCTGCTTGCTGCAGCCGCCATGGGCATGCCTGGCTTTGTAGCTGCCTTTCCTGCTTCGGCTGCCTCTGCTTGCTCATTGTAGAGGTCTTGACTAGTTGGTGATCTAGAAGATGCAACCCTGCGAAGTCCACGAAGATTCTCGGAAGAACTCCTTTCAAGCTCATGATGTGAAGATCTGTGTGCGAATGAGTTCCTTTCTCCAGAAGGCATGCCCAGGGCTGGTCCCATTGCTTTCTGCTCTATGTTGGCCGACTCTGCTTTCTGATAGGAGAGGTACGGTCTAGTTGGTGACTTCGAGGATGCAATCCTGCGAAGACCACGGCTTCTCTCGGAAGAGTCCCCTTCTTGAGGTTCAAAGTTCGACGATCTGTGCGCAAACAAACTTCTATCTGCTATCACCATAGCTGGTGTTGTACCAAGCTCTTTTCCAGCTACAGTCTCTTCTTGGCGTGGGAGGCGTGGTCTCGTTGGTGACTTGGAGGATGCATCCCTGCGTAGACCACGACCACGGGGCTTGCTGGAAGCATCCCTTTGAACTGTCGTCATTGCTGAGTGCTCTAACATTTCTTCCTGTCGACGAAGTTCTGGTCTAGATGACGAGTTTTGTCGACTTACGCTAGGGCTGGGGGTCGAGTGCCCCGTCACCACCCTTCTCGCAATGCCATGCTTCTGCAACAGCAAATCAAATTGCGCGAGTCGGTCTTGTTGCGGGCCTTCTAGTGATGCTGGGGCTTGCTGCGGGCCCTCTAGTGATGATCGGGCTTGATTCGTGCCCTCTTGTGATGCTTTGGTTTCTGGCGTCCCATTCTGCGGAAGTGCTTCTCTGTAGCTGCTTGAATCCATACTTGAAACTTCCTTCAAGCTCTCACTACCCATTGGCTCAGAGGACTCTTCAATTCCTTCGCGTTGGGGCATCGACGCTTTGGGTTTTCTCTTCTTGCGTAAACCACGATTCGATCGAATAGGCCCGAAACGGCTTGGACTGTGACTCCTGCTCCTTAACGGTGTTCTTGATGATTTGCCTTTGTTAGACAGAAGATCACCCAATTCGAGGCTCGTTTCCTCGCCAAAGCCATAATCATCTTCTCGTGACATGGTACGGGACACGATCCCACGTTTTCGCACAGGCGACTTGGATACATCCCCATTGTCGGGATCTTCTCGCGAAAAGGTACGAGCCACGATCCCACGTTTTCGCACAGGCGACTTGGATACATCCCCATTGTCGGGATCTTCTCGCGAAAAGGTACGAGCCACGATCCCACGTTTTCGCACAGGCGACCTGGACACATCCCTATTTTCTGGATCTGCTCGGGACAGGGTGCGAGCCACGATCCCACGTTTTCGTACAGGCGACTTGGAGACACCCCCATTGTCAGGATCTGCCCGTGACTTCGTGCGAGACACGATACCACGTTCTCGAATAGGAGACTTCGACACATCCCTGCTACCGCTATCCCTGCGTAGCCCTGAAACCTTGCTCCTGCGGGACAGATCATCTAGCTCCATGCTAGTCTCGTTGTCGCAATCTGCCCCAGCACGGGACGAAACCCATGGTTTTTGTGCAGAAGGCGACTTAGACCTGGCTGGTGACTTATCGGACCTATGCTTGCGCAGCCCACGTCTGGTGCTCCTTGCAGAACGAACCAGGCCCGGACCAGTACTTCCAGTGTTCTGGCTCATGGTTCTACTCAACGGTATTCTTGATTGCCCTGGCATTTGCTCAGTTTCACTGCCCTGCGGAGTATCGGTTTTGTTCAAATCCACAGTCATTTTGTTTGGGATAGCCGGAGCTTTTCGGTCGCTCCCTGCTCGGTCTGTTGGTTGTGGATTTCGCCAACTATCATGGTTTGGAGGCAGAACAAGAAACGAGTCGTTGAAGCTGTCATTACAAGGTTCGTAGGTTGGGAGAACTGAGGCTGTAAACGCTCGTGGTGCTCGTGTTCGCTGACGTGCGGTTTCAACAGGCTGTTCTTGCCCTGAGGAAGAAGAAGATTCTTTTTCTTGCAGATTTTCCTCTTTGACTTCCTCCATCTTTATCGCTGCTATTGCTACTGTACTTGGCTGTCGGACAACGCCGGGTTCGTGAACAGGGAGTACAGACGGCCGATGGGGGCGAGAGAGTTTGGCTCGTTTCTTTTCCACAGCCTTTCCCAGTGACTCCAACGTAGTAACAGATTGTTGTAGTAACTCCTGGAATTCATCGCTCTTCCCCGCTGCTACATCATCCAGCTGTTGAACAATCGTGGGTTCTGGGATTGGCGTGAGGGAAGATACTTCGCTAAAAGAACTTTTGGTGCCTCGTCCTTTTTGGACAGTTTCTTCTACTGCACGCTGTTGCTCCTCGGGAACAGAAAATTCATCGTCGGCATGTTGACCTTGGAACTCATCGCTCTTGCCAAGGGATGTGGAACTAAGCTGTCGCTCCATGGTGGGTTCATGGATAGGCGTGAGGGAGGAAGTATGGCCACGAGAAAGCGCAGCCCCTCGTCTCTTTCGTGCAACCGGCTGTGGTTGCTCTGAAGTGGGAGATTCTTGCTGATTTTCCTCATTCGATTCTTCGCTTGTGCTTGGTGATGTGGAATTGAATTGTTGAACCGTCGCGGGTTGTTGGATGGGTGCGAGGGTTGGACTTTGAGCACGGGAAAGGGCAACACCTCTTGCAGCTCCGCGTCGACTCCGGGCACCTGGCTGTGGTTGCTTCATTGAAACAGGAGATTGTTGCTGTTTTTCATCTTTGAATTCATCACTATCCACAAGAGCGGTGGCACTTAGCTCTCCATCACCAGCCGGTTCTGCCCCGGTCTCGAGAGAAATTTGCCCATGGGTTCGAGCAAGTGCCGCCCCTCTCCGCTTTCGCGCGGGTGACTGTGGCCGTTCCATCGACGTAGAATCTTGTTGTTGGTTTTCACATTCTTGAAATTCGGCGCTCGGCTCTGGATCAGCAAACGAGGTAAGAGATATATGACCCTGGCTTCGAGAGAGCGCAGCCCCTCTTCTCATTCGCGCAGCCGACTGTGGCTGTTCCAATGAAAGAAGAGATTTTTGTTGGTTTTCATCTTGAAATTCTGCACTTTTGGAAGCTAGTGAAATATCACCTGGGTTTGAATCAAGAGAGGGGGCCATGGAAGTAGGTTGACTATGTGCACGAGAAAGTGCTGCCCCTCTTCTCTTTCTGGCAGCTGGCTGTGGTACTGAGATGGGAGGCTCTTGTTGTATTTGCTCCTGATGCTCTTTTTCACGAAATTCTGCAGTATTGGTAGCTGGCAAAATGACACCCGGCTCTTGACCCAGCGATGGGGCCATGGAAGAAGATAGACTATGTGCACGAGAAAGCGCTGCTCCTCTCCTCTTGCGTGCAGCTGGCTGTGGTATTGAGATGGGAGGCTCTTGTTGTTTCTGCTGCTGATTCTGTTTTCCTCGGAAATTTGCAGTATTGGTAGCTGGCAATGTCACCAGGCTCTTGATCGAAAGAGGGGGCCATGGAAGAAGATAGACTTTGTGCACGAGAAAGTGCTGCTCCTCTCCTCTTGCGTGCAGCTGGCTGTGGTATTGAGATGGGAGGCTCTTGTTGTTTCTGCTGCTGATTCTGTTTTCCTCGTAAAATTCTGCATTTGTAGCAGTGAATGTCACCAGGCTCTTGATCGAAAGAGGGGGCCATGGAAGAAGCAAGACTCTGCGCACGAGAAAGCGCTGCTCCTCTCCTCTTGCGGGCAGCTGGCTGTGGTATTGAGATGGGAGGCTCTTGTTGTTTCTGCTGCTGACCTTGGTTTTCCTCTTGAAATTCGGTGCTATTGGAAGCTAGTGAAGTAGCATTGGGCTCTTGATCAAAAGAGGGGGGCATGGAAGAAGAAAGACTATGCGCACGAGAAAGTGCTGCACCTCGTCTCCTTCGGGCAGCTGGCTGTGGTACTGAATTGGGAGGTTCTGGTTCCTGTTGCAGGGTTGTTTGTTGTTGTATTGAGACGAGAGGCTCTGTTTGTTGTTGCAGCTGCTGACCTTGCTTTTCCTCTTGAAATTCACTGCTCTTGGTTGTAGCTAGTGAAATGGCACCTGACTCTTGATCAAGAGAGGAGGCCATGGAAATAGATTGACTATGCGCACGAGAAAGTGCTGCCCCTCTTCTCTTTCTGGCAGCTGGCTGTGGTATTGAGATGGGAGGCTCTTGTTGTGTTTCCTGCTGCTGATTCTTTTTCTCCTCATGAAATTCTGAACTATTTGTAGCTTGTAAATTGGCACTTGGCTCTCGACCCAGGGAAGCTTCTGGCCCCGTCACAAGAGAAATATGACCGTGGGTACGAGAAAGCGCTGCAGCTCTTCTCTTTTGGGCAGCAGCAGGTGGTGGTTCCATTGATTCTTTTGGTTGCTCCCCATCAATTTCCTCGCTCATTGAGGAGTCACTATCCACCTCTGGTTCTTTGACGGGCGACAGTGGTATTCCAGGAGTGGAAGAAACTCGGGCCCCTCGTCTCGTGCGGGTAGATGATGACTGTGTGGGTGGTTCCTCCTCGGCTATGAGAGTGGGAATTTCTTCCTTTTCCTCCGGCAATTGGTCATTCTTACGGCCGACTAGTCCCACGGGTTGTGGTTGTTGCTGTCGAGCCAAACCGGGTTCCTGAACTTTCAAAATCGAAGGCCGATGTGCGAGATTTAGCTTGGAGCGTTTCCGTGTGCTTTCCGTCTTTTGCAACGCCAGAGAATTGGGCCGCAAGTGCGGTTCCGAGGCTCTGTGGTGGTTCCTCAAAGAAGGCATTTCCCGGTTGGAAATCACCTTGGCAGAATGGGCTCGTGCGGCTCGTCGTCGTTTCGCGGCGGCTGTTGCGATTCGGTCCATGAATTCCCGTTCGTCGGCGTCCTCCTCCTCTTCTCTTGGCTCCTCCATCTTCTCGTCGTTGTCTTCATCATTCATTATTGTACTCTTGATGAACTATAACTTGGGCAGGGATCGAATGTCATCCAGTATGAGCAACGTTACAAGCGGGAAAGCTCTCTCAGTTTCAGAGTCTTGTAGGCAAAGGGCTTCTAAAATAATTTGTCTTCTAATGCCAGAGTTGTTGTTTTTAGGATGCCCAGCAAGCCGCGACATTAACTCCGATTGGTGCGATCATAAGTGAACGTCATCTTGCATTCGAATTCCGGACGTCTTCCATGGCCAAAATTCTTACGGATGGGAACTCGATTTTGCGTCTGGACGTCAACCCGGAAAGGCTGGAGGCAAACCGGCCATGGCCAATCGGCTTCACTCGGATCCAGTAGATTTCCAGCCGTCGCCTCGTTGCAGCTATTATCATTGCACCTTCTAATCCTTGATTTCTCCTGACAAATAGTTTCTAATCATGCATTTGATGTTTTATCTCGACGCCAGTGGGAAGAGGGTGTATACGCTGAAGGTACGTCTGCTGTGTTCGGGCTACCCATGCTTCTTTCCCGCTCCGGAAGACTCACTCATCAATGTCTCACCCCGATGCTTCTGTCTCCCTCCGTTCTTGTGGCAAAACAGAAAGAATCGCCAGAAGGAAAGGTGACAGAGAGTGCTCATCCTGCAAGGTTCTCTCCCGATGATAAATTCAGCCGCCATCGAGTAGCCTGCAAGAAACGATTTGGGCTCTACCTTGTGGATCAGCCCGTCAAGCCTCTGTAGCTCCAACTCTAGCTGGCTAGCTACGACTGTAGCTGTCTAGCTAGCCGCCAAATAGCTATTTGGCCAGGGACGGTGCCCTAAGAAGCTTTAGAGTTTGATACTGAAAACAATAAAATTGATTCTCTGCTTATTGTTACATCATGTAGCTATCACCTTCCCGAGAAAAACTTATTGTCGCCACCGCTACAATCACTAAAGATGCAGTCTTTGTTTCCTCGTGGCTGTGTTGGGTTCACGTGAATGGTAAACTACCGGTCTCCCCCTCAGTATCAAGTTTTCAATATTTTCTATTGCATTTGTAATATGGAAAACTATAGTACATTTATTTTCAACTACTGAGTTGACTGAGCTCAATCTTTTCTGCATCTTAGTGCAGATCAGTCTTAGCCTTGGTTATGGTGCTTGCCACCTGGACCAACCAACTGTTCTAAAAGATCGACATCCACACGAACAAACTTGTGGATCCAATCATCGTGAACAATAGCATGTCATTCTTTCCAACGGCTGCTGAGCTTTCCTCGTCCAAAACCGAGGATTGCGGTAATCGAGTGCTGGTACTGGAAGCAACGGGGATGAGGACTGGTTTGGGTTTGCGAAAGCTGGTACTGGAAGCAATTGGGATGAGACCATCACGCTCCCCTCCCGGAGCAGGATTGCTCCCATCGGCAAGAGCAGATGCATCTGGTTGGAAACCCCGATTTCTCGTCGTAGTACTAGTACTAGCAATCGGGATGAGAGCAGGTTTGCGGTAGCTGGTACTGGAAGCAATGGGGATCATCCCGTTACGTGCTTCCACAGGAGCTGCCATGGGAGCACCGTCGGATTCTGCTGTAGATCCATCATTTTGAAGCTGAAATCCAGGTTCTCCTCTGAAAATGGGACGATCGCCGCTTGATACGGGTCCCGATGTCACGCACTCGAGGCAGAGGCGTGTAGGCTCTGCTGTAGGTGACTTTGTCGGGGAAGCGGTGGTTGGAGCCAGTGTGGTGGGAGCCTGAGAAGGGCTTCCAGGGGTTACCGTCGGGTGGAGCGTTGTAGGAGCCCCTGTTGGCGAAGAGCTAGGGGATGCTGTGGGGCCTTTAGTGGGCGTGTCTGTGGGGGTATTTGTCGGAGAGGAGCTCGGTGATGTTGTAGGACCTGTGGTGGGTCTATTTGAGGGCGAAATTGACGGCGAGGAGCTAGGGGATGCTGTTGGCCCTGTTGTGGGTTTGTTTGAGGGCGAAAATGACGGAGAAGAGCTGGGGGATGTAGTGGGGGCAGCGCTCGGTATCTTTGTAGGCGAATCTGTCGGAGAAGAGCTAGGAGATATTGTAGGGACAGCGGACGGAACGTGGCT